TTAATTATTTCAATTCTTTGATTTGTAAATTTGCCTCGTGAAAAACAATTTCCTCTAAAATGAACAACAGCAATTGATTTTCTCTTGTGTTCAATCGACATTAATCTAGCTATTCAATAAAGGAAATATTCTGAAATTCTTATGGTATGCAAAGTTCTATTTACTGTTTGATTAACATAATGTAATAAATCATAAGTACTAACTTTTTAGGTAAAATATGAATTGTGAATAAGAAATGACAATTTCTTGGTACTATGTACAAATAACTTAATTTAGATCTGTAATCTGAAATGTGTTGGGGTAAATTAATGTTTCTCTGAAGTCTTCTTTTTCTTTTGGGTGAGCTTTTCCAAACTATAATAAAGATAGGAGGACAGTCTATGTAGAAGCTATTCAAGGTAATACTCCAGGATATGTACTTCTTACAGAAAATAGATAACAATGGAATCATGAGTGAGTTTGATCAACAGGTTATTTAATCTTCTGGGTTTGGACATTTGTTTTTATTTTAGTTGCTACATAGATATATAAGCTTATGAGATTTTAGAATTACAGTTGATTGTAGGGATGTTTGTTATAGGCCTGATAAATTATTATCATTGGCATCAAGGGTTTTAAAAATACACAAATTCCAGTTAAAATTAGCTACTTTCTTTTTTTTTTTCTTTTATTGAATCAATATTTATTGAACCCCTGCCATGTGCCAGATACCATTGAGTATTCTGGTGATACAACAGTGAACCGTATAGAAAAGATCTTACCCTCGTAGAACTATATTCTAGTTGAAAAGACAAAAAATAAATGAATAAACAAAATAATTAAATAATACAACTCCATATACTAAGCCTCATGAAGACAATCAAGAGGCTTTATATATAGAATATAGGATGATGGTCCCATAGCACAAAGGTGGTCAAGAAAGGTCTGTTTCAAGAAGTGGTGGTTGAGCAGCAGCCAAGATTAGAGTTTTCCCCTTTTCAGTTGAAGACTATAATTAGGCTTCAACTATTCCCCCTCTGCTTAAGAAAAATTGTGTACCAACTAACACAATCTCTACTTTATATTGACCCCACTCTCCACTTATCCCCTGTTCAAGAGCTAATAGGGGTTATAAATATACACATTGAACTGGAATCATCTGTACTAGTTTCTTAGTTCCAAAAGCATTTGCTTAAAAAAAAAATCCTCCCAATATTTTTAGGGATGATAAAAAAAAATTTTAATTAAAGTAACTAGAAAACCGTGAAGATATTTCTTAAATTTTTCCTTTTTTCTTTAAAAACAGCAGTTATTTCTTTTACATTTTCTCCTCAAAGTATAAAAAGTGTGAAAAATAAAAAGTTCTTGTACCTTTTTAGATGTGTACAATTCAAGCATTATATCTAAAATTGTTAAATTCCATTTAATTTTTAAAAATTTGTTAATATACAAAATAATGGGGCCCAGAAAAAACTAAAACCCTCTTTTTTGTTACACACAAGATTTAGATATGTCATCTGAGGCAAACTATTCAATCATTTTGGCTGTCCTATAGAGTCAAATGTTGATATACTAAAAATCAGGTTACTTTCTAAAGTAACTAGAAAACATTTTTCATAACTAAAAAAATGTTTCTTTGGGATTAGGACAATGTTATGAAACAATTTTATAGTGTTAAGTTCTCTGGTCGAGTTTCAAAGTATATTTAAATAATATACCTGAAATAGAGGATCTGATCACCCTACCTCTAGTGTCTGTAAGTCAGGAACTAGCTGCTCATTCATTCAGTCAGTAAAATACTTTTCAAAGTATGGAGAAAAAACAAATAATCAATAATGCAAATTGCTTTAAGACCAGCTGTGATTTCCAAAAGAGTGCTATGGTTAGTAACTGGGTTGTTGTTGAAGGAGCTAATGAAAATTAACCAAATCAGTTTGGTATTGTTGTATACTTGCTGTAGCCAGTTCAATGAAATGTGTGTGGTCAACTTTCTTTCTAATAGCTTTCCTCATTTTTCAAAGGCTCTTTCCACTGATACAGTTAATGTCCTGTTCATTAAGTGCTTCTTGCTGAATATGTGCATAGTGACCCTCTTCCTTGTGTAGGATTGTGCAGTCACCACAAAGTGCTTGCACAATTTAGCAGTACTTAAGCAGCTGCATCTCTTAACCTTCTGTCTTCAGCCTTGAGTGGAAGAGATAACACAGAAAACTGCCTTGTGAAGTCATTGAACTTAATTGACTTCCATCAGAAGCATACTAGTAGTTGCAAACGGTACAGTGTAGATTAAATCCTTGAAGAGTCTGAACTATGTACGAAAATGGGAAGACACATATGAAGGACTTTTTATTGTTTGTAGTCTCTAAGATTAAATTAAAGACTTAAATTAAAAGCCTGTATCTTTTATGGTTTAATCAAATACTATATCTTGATTTATCGTGGCACTTTATTTATTTAGGCGGCTGGCTGGTACTGGGATCCAAACCCTTGACCTTGGTGTTATAAGGCCACACTCTAACCAACTGAGCTAACTGGCCAGCCCCGTGTCATTGCACTATAGAAGTGCTTCATAAATGAAGAAAACTCAGATATTTCATGTTAGACATGTTCTGTAAAGTTCAAGAATTTCTTTTTTTTTTTTTTCCCCCCTTTTTGTCTTTTTTCGTGTCCGGCAACGGATCGCAACCCTCAGTGTCACACCCGCACCGGACCGGGACCGGCAACGGGATCTATTTATCTAAAGTAACTTCTATTAGAATAAAGAGCGAATTGGTGTATTCTTGTTTTAATACTGTTGTATAAAGAGTCTCTGTCACCATACCTTGAAATTATTTACTATCTTAAAATGAAAGGAAGGCTAACATAAAAGAAATTGAATTTCCCTTAAGAGCTGTTGGATTCATTTATAAAGAGAATAAAGAAGTAGTGAATCAGAAAGGTCAGTGAAAAAATTTGTTTTTTTTTTTAAGTTAGATTCATAGAAAAGAAGAAAAAAGTAGAGAAATCAAGATATATTTCAACATCAAACTAAAATATTAACAACTACTTTGAATGGCCAAGCTCAGTTCAATAGCAGAGAAATATGAAATCCCCTATCAGGGAACCCTTGACTGGGAGTACAGTTTGGTTGAAGAGGTAGTGGGGGGAGCAATCCAAACCTTTCCAAGCATGGAATTCTGTGTTCATTCCAGTCGGAGAGGCTTGCCTCTCTTCTTGTAGCTGGATGGAGGGCAAAAGTTCAAAAATGAGAGGTATGGGAGTTGTAATGTTGCACAGAAAGAATCAAGACTTGTTGACAACTTCCACGTAGCTGAGTCGACGTGGGAGAATCAGAGTCAGCTGCAAGACTCCAAGTTGGAGGCGCATTAAAGAGCTGCATGTAATGACGAAGAGAGAGAGACTCTTTGGGAGAGGGACTCTACATGGAAGAAAATAACTAAACAGAAGACACAGCCCTGAGGATGTGGAACCAAAGAGAAGACCTGGAGCCAGCTGGGAATCATTTATTTCAAGTTGATTATGGAATCACTCAAATAGAAAGTGAATTTAGGAAAGAAGGAGTGAGGTGGGAGGGGACAACACTGAGGGCTGAGGACAAAGCCTTCAGGGACCTTCAGGTTAAAAGGAAGGACAAAACGAGAAAGAATAAAGACAAAGGAGGACTGTTTAAAATGTGAATTAGCCCTGGGCAAGCCTCCCTCTTCTAGGGCCCTTTTCTACCTACTCTTCATGGGTCCGTTCAGCAAATTCAGGAAAAAGAGAGTTGCCAAGCAAAGAACACAATTTGCCTTCCTCCTTCTAACTTATTCTTGCTACCGGCAGTTGCAGGAAACTATCGCATCAAATTAGCCACTTGAATTGCCTTAAGTATCAGGAGAGCACTGATGAAATTCGTTTGCTAGAGAGGAAAATCCATTTTAAGGAGAGGGACATGAGAGGAACACCAGGGCCAGCTCGGTGGCGCACTGCTGCAGTGCTCCGCTTGGGAGCTCCGCTTGGGAGCTCCGCTTGGGAGCACGGCGGTGCTCCCGCCGAGGGTTCGGATCCCACATACAGACCGGCTGCTCACTAGCTGAGCGAGGTGCGGGCGCAACACCGAGGGTTGCGATCCCATTGCCGGTCCCGTTCCGCGGCCCGGTACAGGCGCGACACTGAGGGTTGCTATCCATTGCCGGACACGAAAAAAGACAAAAAAAAAAAAAAAGAAAAAGGAGAGGAACACCAGCTTTTTCCACAATCCAAGACATTTAGGTGTTTAAAACATGAAAATTATGCCCTCTGAAGGAAAAGTCTTTGGAAAAACTAATAAAATGTTCAATGCATTTGACAAAGTTCCCATTATAAGAAGCTCCCAATTTTTTCCCGCTCTTTAAAAAAAAAAAAATTGAGAAAGAAAATAAAGTGTAAGTTTTTGTAAGAAAAAGGAAGGGAATTTATTTGTGAATATAGAAAACACTGCAAGAAAAAACTTTTCCATTGTGGAAAATTTAACAAAGGATTGAAGCCAATTTTTGGCCGTTGAGAAAGAAAATAAAGTGTAAGTTTTTGTAAGAAAAAGGAAGGGAATTTATTTGTGAATATAGAAAACATTGCAAGAAAAAACTTTTCCATTGTGGAAAATTTAACAAAGGATTGAAGCCAATTTTTGGCCGGCTTCAGTAGTGAAATTTGAGCTGGAGGTTACATATTTTGTTTGTATGAATGTGAAAAATCAGATATAGTAGCTTAAACAAACACTCATAGCTCTCATTAGCAGAAAGTGTGCCTCACCTCTTGGTGATACAGAATGTTTTACACTGATTTCCCCAATATTAATTTCTTGTTGGAAGCAAGTTTCTTAGATAGGCCGTGTTCTGTTTCCCACTGTTCTCCAGATGCAGGATAGAGATTCGCCAGTTCTTAGAGGAATGTTATGCTGACATCATGCATATCTTTTATCTTTACAGAGAGGCCAATGAGAAGTGAACCCTGAGCGTAATTTGTGACAAGCAGGACTGATGTGCACACAGAAGGAATGAAGTATGGATGTGAAAGAACGTAGGCCTTATTGCTCCCTGACCAAGAGCAGACGAGAAAAAGAGCGGCGGTATACAAATTCCTCAGCTGAGAATGAGGAGTGTAGGGTGCCCACCCAGAAGTCCTACAGTTCCAGCGAAACCTTGAAAGCCTTTGATCATGACTCCTCACGGCTGCTTTATGGAAACCGAGTAAAGGACCTGGTTCACAGAGAGGCAGACGAGTACAATAGACAAGGTGGGTAATCGTTGTAGTAAAACAAGCCTTGCTCAGGTGTTGCTGACTTGTAAGTGTCATGTTTTTTCCCCAAAGGTAACATGGTTATTTCCTGATTTTGATGTCCTAGCCACTGATTCCGATTTTGACATACTACATGATCACACGCTATTCCAGATTAGAGGTAGAAAGCCACCTGTGGGCACATTGGCCCCCAGACGTAGGTATTATTACAGAATAATCCCAAAGCTCCACAGTTTATATGTGAGGGTTGTGATTCTGCACTTGGCCAAAGTGTTTGTGCATAAACACAAAACTCAAGTCTCCAGGGCTCCCTTTGAATTGAATGAAGGTTCTCACCAATATGTTTTTGTAGTTAGAACTGGTGTGAGGAGAACAGGAGCTGTTGTTGAGGAAATTCATCTTTTCCTCATAAGAAAGTAAGAATTATTAGCCTAGATCATCTCATGATCCATCTAACTCTGCTGCCCGCATCTTTCTGTTTTACACAGAAGCCTGCCACAGAGGGGTTCCATTTTCTTTTTCCCAGGGAACCTCGCACATTAAGGTTACACCTTAGAACTTCTCAGTTTTTCATAATATAATCCATATGGTTTGGCCATTTGCATAAGTCTGTGGGACATTTTACATTGTTTTCTGCCTGAATATTCTACCAGTGGAATAATGACTTCTGTAACTACCTCAATATCCTAAACCTCCTGATTTCCACACTTAAGACAGTAGGTTATTTTAAAATAGGCATATATAGTTATATTTTGTTTCTTCTAATACAATCTTGAGTTGTGGGCAAGACTACTACTAATAAAAATAAAATCCTCTTACATTTGTAATGTGCAATACAATTTACATAGGAATTAGCAATCCTTAGCTAATTTAATCAGGAAAAGTAAAATAAATTAAACTTCAGTAATAAAGAATATATTTATTCTTTTCCAGTCACCTTATAGACAGTGTGACTGACAGTTTGATATTGGGCAGGAACAAATTTAAGAAAAAGCAATAGCAATAAACGGTTCAAAAGTTTGAAAATTCTCCATGGTTCTTTTCTTCTCTTCATTGTGCAAAGAGCCATCTCAACCAGACTGAAATAGCAACCACTCACCCAGTCCAGTATATATCAAAGAAAACTTGTTTGCTTTGCTAAGGAGAGATTTTTTTCCCCTAAAAAATACCTTAATACTTACTGGTATCAAATTTCATGAAAAGGGACAAAATATTTATTTTATTTTTTGACTGTCTGGTATGGGGATCCAAACCCTTGACCCTTGGTGTTATCAGCACCATGTTCTATCCAAGTGAGCTAACCGGCCAGCCTAGCTTAACATTTTTAATCTATTTTTAAGGGGAACTATCGAGTACATATTTGAGACATACACTCTTGGTAAGTCAAAGGGCTTTAGTTCATTTTACAAAGTATTATAATTCTAAACTCAGTTTTTTTCATATTGTCTGCACAGCTGACATAGATTATCAGTGTACACTTCCCGCCAATTTAAAAAAAAAGTAGTTCGTGTAGAAATGCATGTGATCTGAACTCAGTATAAAATCATGCTTTTGGTTACAAAAATAACAGCTTAGTGTCCTGTGGGAAAAACAACCACCACCCTACATAGTGGAATAGGAGTAGAAGAAAAGCAGAACATGTGCATGATGATAGGAGTAGAAGAAGAAAAGCAGCCCATGTGCATGATGCGTTGAGGAGGCTCATCTCCACTCCAAGCAAGCAATTCGTTTTGGCAGAATGGAGGGTGGTTAATCAGGTTAAAAATAGTGCACTGAAATTTTCACCTCCTAGGCAGCTTTAATCCAGCACAGACTGTTATTGATGACATGGTGATACCATCTGTGGCAACTCTGGAACCGAAGTTCTTAGGGGACCAAATAGTGCTATTACTCAGCTCCCTTCAGGCCAGTGCCTGGAGAGTGAAGGGGACCTGGGAAAGAGAAAGTGAGCAAGGCAGCAGGTGGAGGCCTCTTGTCTGGAGCTCAGTGGAGACCTGAGCAGAGGTGAAAGAAAAAGCAAAAGTGCAGATGCTCATAAATGAGAATTTATTAAAAACATCCATGGAACGTCCTGCTAATTATAGCTAACATGTACTGATGGCTTACTGCATGCCAGTCAATGTGCTAAGCAGGTTGAGTGCAAAGTTGCCTGGTGAGGTGGGTCCCAGTAGCATCCTTCTTGTGCCAACTGAGACACTGAAGGCTTGGAAAGGCTGGAAATCCTGTGGCTCGTGAGAGCCAAGCTGGAGTTGAACCCAGGTCCGTCTGCCTCTAGCGCTCAGGCTTCTAATCACTGTGCAGCTGCTGAAGTGGAACACAGGCAATTCAGTGTAATGATTGCCCTTTGATTTACTAGAGTCAATTTGAGTCCATTTGGGGTTAAACTAGTGATGGTGTGCATAGTAAGAAGTGAGTAAACTCGAGACATATTTAGGAATAGAATTGAAACGATTTTGTACTTAGGTGGAGGAGAATGAAGGGGGGGGGGGGTTGCAAATCCTTTTTCTTTCCTGTGCTTTGGTATGTGCTTGTAGCAGGAGCGGTTGGTGTAGGAGAGAAATGAGTAAGGAAAGTCTGCTTTCAGACTTTATATCAGATTATGTTTTTCTTGAGCAAGCATAATGAAAAATCCTCCCAGGCTTTCATTTTCTTTGAACCTGACAAATGTCAATTTTTCCTCGTTGACTATTATGCTGTGGGATTAATTATTTAATTGACAAAATGTGCTTCCTGCCACAGCTCCTGACATCATACACATAATAAAAATGAAATATTAAAAATATTAATAATAGCCAAAGATCTTTGAAACAATTCCAAAGAATCATGCTAATTTAGCTTGCCTTTAGAGTTTTAAAACAGCTTGTCAGTCCTATATCCACTTGCTCCTTGAATGATGCAGGAAAATGGAGCTTGAGCAGGAGGAAGGGATAAGTAGAGACCCTGTTAATGCAATTATATCGAGAATTCAAATCTAGAAGTGTTTTTATTTTTATCGACCAGTTTTATGGCCTATTATCAAAGTTGATTTTAATCATTTTTTATGGCTTTACTGACTGGCAGGTGACCACTGTTAATTACATTTTATATTTAGACACTGTAAAGCTGGGGATGACTTTGTTTTCACAGTAGTGTGTAATTTGACTGAATCTCACATAGATCTCTCTCTCTCTCTTTTTCTCTCTTTTTAAATCTCTTCATGTGGTTTATTGGTAATGGAAATAGTTACTCTTTTAGCAGCTGTGAAGCTCTCCGTAGGTGTGATGGGGTTAGGGTAACAAAGGCTTGTTTTGCATTCTTGGATACTATTTTCTTTGATTTCTCTTTGAAGAGAATTTATCCCGTCAGGTCTGAGACACATTTCTTATGAAACAGCTGCATAAGATCATCCCACAGTTTTGGAGAAGTAATAAAAGAAAAGATCTTTTTTTTTCTCTGCTGCAGCTCTCTGTGCTGTGCACATTGCCTGCAGTATTCCTGACCAAACAAGAATGCTTATGAACTCCAACAAGGAATGTTGGCCGTGTGGGTGAATTTTGGAAAAAGGTGATGTCTGGAAATAAGAATACTTTTGTTGCACTGAACCACAAATCTAAAAAGAAGCACCTTTGAGACAGTATTTAATAGTAATTAGTGCTGGGGTTGTGAATTTCCAAATTTTGAAGTGAAAAGACTACTGTTTATTCTTTATTTATAGGATGGCAATGAGGAGGAAGGTTATCTGTTTTTCAATTTGAAAAAATAGCATTATACCTATGTTTATGCATAACTGAAATCAAAATAGAAAATGAACTGGCAAAGAAGGGAAGGAAGGAGGAAGGCAGATTGGCAAAGACAGGTCCTCACTGATGTCTAAGTGTGACTCACCTCTAGTCTTCCCTGACAACGTGGTTCCACTTCCAGAAACTCCCCTCTTTGGGACTTGCCTTCTCGTTATTCTTAGCATCATCAGTAGTGCTCAGCAGCCCCCAGCTCCCACTAACACGGCCTGTGCTTCTCACCTCATGGCATTGCTGGCCCAAGGCCAGTTTAATTGTAGCTCAGCTGGGAAGAGGGAAGAAAAAGAAGAGAGAACATAGATCCCACAAGACCTGATTCTCCACTGTTGCACCTCCCTAGTGGGCTGCTTGCTGAGCCCTGGTCCATTTTGTATGCAAATATTCCAGATGCTAGACCTGCCCCTTACTGAGGATAACACTCTTTTGTGAAGAAACAAAAGGACATTAAAGGAGCAGCCTGAGGTTTCCTGTAAATATGTACCCAGGATTCTGGCATAATGGTGGCTTAAACGATGCCTCATCTCCCCGTTGATTTCCTTACCTCCTCTGAGCTGAGCAGTGACCAGGTGTGCAAATGAGATCTGCAACTCCATTAGGATCCCCAAGGGTCAAGCTGATGCAGGTGTTTTTCCCTTTGGGCCAGGTGAGAGCTGGGAATGGGGTGAAGCCCTAGGGTGAAGGTCAGAAAGAATGCCATGGCTTCATGGTTCCAGAGGGAGGCTGGCCTGCCTCTCCCATGGACTTTACTTAGTGAATGTTGCCTTGCAGGAGCAGCTGGTGCCTTTCCTTGGCCTCTCAGGAAGCTGGAACCTAACCAGATGCCTCTCTGCACGCTGAAACTGTGAGGGTGCCTGCTAAGAAAACCAGAGGGTAGAAAGGCATGTGCCTAGAGTCTAACAGGACCTCCCACTGTTTCTTAAGACACCCCAGGAAAGCAACAACATGCTAATGACACCCAGCATGCAGGAAGTGGGACAGGATGCGAAACAAAGCAATTAGGAAGCTGTTTATGAAAATAAAAATGAAAACGAGCAATGGAGAGAAGTGAGGACAACTTGAACCAAAATAACCAAAATAAAATATTGTACCAAGAGCACTAACTGAAATCCAAGAACAGTAACAACAGAAAAAACAACAACAAAACCAACAGTGAATATTGTACCGAGAGCACTAACTGAAATCCAAGAACAGTAACAACAGAAAAAACAACAACAAAACCAA